TCAGAAAGATCTGCAAATGAGGTAGAAAAAATGTCAGGACCAATTAGCTCTACACCAGAAGAGTTTGCACCAGGAAGAGGAGACAGGTTAACGCAGACGTCCATCAGAAGTTTTGGGTCCGCTGCCACTTGAGCATACTGCTTATGCAAAGGTTCCTGACGGGCACCAGTTATGGGTTGAACTGGCTCATGGGGCATGAGATTTTTAAGCCGCCAGAATTGGTCTCGGAATATTTTGCTCCGTCAGGTAAGCATACATGGGCATGGCATTGTCCCAAATGCAGCTTAAAGAACCACTAAACTTTGTTTTTTGTTACTCTTTTAACCATTACATATGAAAGATTTGTGGTTTGTCTTATGCGGAACACCAAATTTATTCTTTAAAAACTTGTGGTTAATTAATACCGAGCGATTAAAAGTGGCCAAAAAGTCGCCTGCTTCCCTCTCGCCCGCCAACGAAACCACAGACAGGTTACGTAACTCTGTCGCCAGAGCACTGCAGTGACGTCATATGAGGAACGATTTTCAGTTAGTTGTATAGAAAGTGTGTAGCACGCTCATCATTTTGATGATTTCTCGACATGAACGACGACATGCCGAATCGTTGCTTTGTCGCCAATTGCTCCTAGGGTCGGGTGATGGTGTCACCATGCACAGATTTCCACAGGACCTCGCAGTTCGTGCTAAATGGGTTATGTTTGTGAGTGCGGAAGCGAAGCATTGTGGAAGCCTGAAACGATATCTTACTTGTGTTCAGATCGCTTCACGGAAGTTAAAGAATCAAAACTACTTACTAGTTATAGTAAAATATGTATATGATTGATGACCATAAAGATTTTCCATAACACAACTTGTAACATAACGATTTCTTCCTCGGAAGTGAGGTTGTGGTCGAAGTAACAATAATATTGTAAGTAGTATTATATTGACACCCACCTCGCTGCCAGAAGAGAAATTGTTATGTTATATGCTATGTCATGCAAAATCCTATTGGCCATCAATAAAATACATATTTTACTACCAGTAGAAAGTAGTTTTGATTTTGTAACTCGGTGAAAACAAACCTAAATAGCATTTATCCTGGTGGATGTTCCCGACAGGGCGCCGCCATTTTTGAAAATCGTAAAGTCTGTTAGAATTAATGAGATTATAGTTTGTTTTCATCAAGTTAGAAAATCAAAACTACTTTCTACTCGTAGTTAAATATGTATTGGAATCATAACCAAAAGGATTTTGCATGACACATGAAGCGAGGTGGGGGTCGAAGTCACAATTCTGCGCGATAAATTTCTTGCTACATTCACATGGTTAATGTCCACTCACCAGTATGTAGATACTAGTCAATGTGCATCTTTATATTTGGTCTTATAATCCTAATTAGTTTATTATCATACTTTTATGCATTTTGAAACTAAATAAAAAGCTGACGATCTGCTGATACTTATAGTGAATTTATAACAGAACTGTAATATCTAGACATTTTATAGTTTGCCAATGTGAATCATAATTCGCACACACACCCTAGTGTATGTTGTCTGTCTCATTACACTTCACGGCGAAAACAATGATTCTGTTGAATGCTACGACAAATGAATAAAAAACAAAATGCAAATATTAAAATTAAAACAGATTAAAGTTATAGGAACAATATCAGGCCATTACCTTGTTTGAGGAATGTATCCATCAATATCTACAAAACTGTTCCAAAGTGATAAATCTTTTCAGGTATTGGTGTATAGTCTCATTGGTCACCCAAGATAGCACACCTGGCAACTAATTGCATAATGTCCGCCTTTCATTAAAAACAGTAATTTAGTTAGCCAATAATGGGCAATCAATCAATGTATTGCCGGTTAATCCTTTGAAAGAAGGACGTTGTTTTTACGCAGACACCGACACGGCAGAGTGTATTCAGTATAGATTAGTAAGTCTACATACATAAACACTACCTTTTGACAATTCCGCTGTGTAAGATAAAAGTAATTAATCAATCAGCGTGTTATCGGTTAATCCTTTGATCGATGTTTATAATGTTGAATATTTACTCCAGACACAAGAAATGCCAAATGGGAACCTTTGTCGGGTAATCTAAGTGTGTTACCACTAATTACACCAGTTATAAATTCATTAACTGGCCATCAAGTGAATGATGACAAATAACATGTGTAGGTTTATACCACCTAACACGGGTTACAACAAGGGAGTATTAATTGCTGTATTGCATGTGAAAACTTATGGGCCGACACTGTTTTGAGAATACAAACAGATTTTTACATGACATGATTAAATATCGAGGGTAAAAAAACACAGAAATGGGATCAATTTGGATCAGTCATTATACAAATAGGGCCTAACGACACCAATCAATTGTGACAGAATCTTCTATGAAAACAAGTTGTAACTCGGAAACTAGGCAAAGCAGGAGACAAAATTAAATGCCAGTAGATTGTGAGAACATATAGCTTTCATTTTCCACAACAATTGTCACGATTTCAGGTTTATACAAGCCTGTAAACAAGATAATTTACCCCCTAAAATGTAGATGAATTCTGCATCGGCCCTCAAAGCTATTCCTCATATGACGTCACAGAGTCGCGCCGCTCTGATTGGTTGAAATTTCGTTCGCGGGTGAGAATTGTGCACTGTTGTCAAAAAGGTCGATTTAAGTCAATTAAAGGTCGAAATGAGTAGTTTTAATGACGGGGTTTCATTTATAACGATGCCAGTTAGTGATTTATGTATTTTTACCCCCTAGGGTTTATGTGACCTTTAAGCGACTTGCCATTGCCGCATGGATTTGCAGGCCATCCTGTCGCTTTCGCACACTCTAAGTAGTGTGGTTTTGAGATGGTTTGACCAAGATATTCTTGGTTGGGTTCTGTGCCTTCTCCTGGGGCAATTCCCGTCTCCAGTATGGTTGGTGTCACTACCGGGGGAAGGCTGAATGGGCTGAGGTGTCGAAAGATGGTTTGCTCCTTGTTTGTCTGTAACCCAGTAAGAAAAACCAGCTTCGGGGGGTCAGCCCTAATTGGGTGATGTACGTTTAGTTCAGGGAATAAAATTCCCCTATCTAGGCCCACCATGGAGAGGCATACATCATCAGGCCCAACTCACAGGTCTTTCTGTACCATCAGGTAGTCTGTGTGCTAACACCACTCCAACACCATAGGGCAATGCATCACACTCTAGTAGTACTGACTTGATGCTGTCGAAGTGTATGAGTACATCCGATGACTGTAGGATTCTCTTCAACTTCTCAAGTGATTGGCATTCAGGCTTTCCTCATTTCCGCTTGACATCCTTCTGTGGCAACTGGTACAAGGGAGAGAGTGTGTCTGGAAGATTTGGCAGAAATCTATGATAATAGTTCAGTATTCCAAGATAAGCTCCACTGGGTGAAGACCTTCACTATCTAATCTGTATCCCAGATATTCCACTTCATCAGCTAAGAACACACATTTGTCTTTTCTCAAGCGCAGTCCTGCATGATCTCTGCAACACTTGATCAAAGACTTGCAAATGTTCATTGTCATTCATCCCTGAATTGATGATGTCATCAAGGTATCCTGCAGAACGTTCTATTCCTTGCAGTAGGCTTTTGATAATTCACTGGAATAAAACAGGCGCTGATGAAACTTCAAAGGGTAGTCTGGTATATCTGAATAATCCTCTGTGTGTATTGACCACAACATACATCCTTGACTCCTGACCCTTGAAGGTCTGCTTTAGAATATTGATCTTCAGTAACCCATGCTTGTCGTAAGAGGAGACTAACGGGATCGGGTGGTCATACTCGCTGACTTGGTTGACACATGTCATTGGTTCCCTATTGCGCAGATTGATGCTCATGCTGTCGATCACTGGATTGTCTGGTCAAGATTCCATTATTAACAGACTGCCATCATATAGCTGGAGCCATCATATAGCCGGAATGTTGCTGAGTGCGGCGTAAAACTAAACTCACTCACTCACTCACTCACTTACTCCTCATCTAAGACAAGCTGTTGATATGCATGGCACATATCAAGTTTTGAGGACTTCTGCCCTCCTGATAGTCTAGTACACAAGTCTTCCAAGGTAGATATCGGGTACTGCCCCAATCTTGAGGCACGATTCACTGGAAATTTGAAGTCCCCACAGATTCTGATTGTTGAATCTGGCTTTAGCACTGGAACAATAGGACAGGCCCTTCTGAGCACTTCACTGGCTCAATAATACTTTCCTGGAGTAGGAGATCTAGTTCTATCTTCTGATGTAGAGCATACGGCACTGATCTTGCTTTGTAAAACTTAGGAGTAGCCTCTGGATCAACTTAAATATGAGCTTTAAACCCTTTCAATGTCCCAAGACCCTCTTCAACAATAGCAGGAAAGTCACAAAGTAGAAGTTTGGACAAAACCCATGAAAGAATCTCTCAAGTCAAAGTTCATTGTAACAGGCATGGTTCTCTCTCTCTTGTAGAAACTACATGTTAAGCGTGTGATTCTACTTTGTGTTGTGTGTTTTCATTCCAACTTGCATGTTTGCCACAAGAACTAGTGTACATCTGATATAAATACTAACACTGGCTTAACTCAGCGGTAGTTTATGATTTTAAATCCACCCGTCCATCCCATCTTCTAGTTCGTCAATAATTTCATGTTCCATGCACAAACCACACAACACGTTGAATGGGAGATGACTGTGACAGGAATGCCCAGCCCTTTATTCAGTAACCCATACATTGAAAGTGCAGAATGCGATAGTGTTTTGGTGATGACTGATCATACATCACAGCATAATGCAGCAGTAGTCTAATGACCTACAATTTTTAGTTCAAAATATTGCCAGTTATAACACAATTCAGCCATAACACTTTATTCATCATGCATTTAGAAAATCAAGCAGTGGATGTTTCCATAATTGAGAGAATACATCCCCAAAACTATGTTTTGTTTTGAAGACATGCATAGCCTAAGAGCTGACATTCAACAAAATAATCCCAAACTTCTTTGTCCACAGATCATGTACAATGAAACTGATGGACCTGAAAAGTGAACTGAAGACCAGAGGATTCAATTATATAAAATATATTAACATTGGAGGTGGCTTGGACATCAACTATAAACAGATGGTAATATACACTTCAGAGTTTTTATTCATATTTTAGGGGCGATGAGGTTCGATTCCCCACATGGGCACAATGTGTGACGCCCATTTCTGGTGTGCCCCGCCGTGAAATTGCTGGAATATTGCTAAAAGCGGCGTAAAACTAAACTCAGTCAGTATTCATATTTAAGGCTGATTGGATGATTAGCTGCATAAAAACTGAATAACTGGGTGAAAATGGTGTGCATTATTTTCACATCATCATCATGATTTTACAATGTGAGTGAATTGTTGAAATGTACAAGTGCAGATATTGTTATGAGCCAAAGCTTTTTTCACAACGCTATGATTTATCATTGCTAATCATATTAATTAGGATGAGTGTGCTTATACATACATGTATTATATAGACATTGGTTGATCAGGCCAATGGCTACTGTCAGTATGCAGGTGATGAGGGGATTGATATTTATAATTTTTTAAAAAGAAATTTCTATTGATAACTATTCGGAAGAGTTCACTCAAACGCATCTCGTTCAGTAAGTGTTTATGGAATTTAAAAACATTCATTAAACGCATCTACTTCGTGGACTTAAATCTCCATAGACACTGACTGCACAAGATTTGCCTGCGAGGGAACTACACACGCTCCCAGATTTCAGGTGTTAGAATGTTTTTAGTTGGTTTTCAACATCGCTGATACTAGATGTTGAATTTAAAGTTAGGTTAGAAAGTCAGTAAGTTGTAAGATATTCATAAATTATCTTAGATAATCAGTGGGGTTTAGTTAGTAAAGAAAGTTAGAGGTTAGATATTCAGGGTTAGATTAGTTTAGTATTAGTCAGGTTTTGAACATTAATAGAGTTAGAATTTAGATATTAGGGGTTAGTAAAATTAGTTATATTCTTAGAAATTCATCAACACCAAAGTTTACGTATTTAGTTAGTTCTTCACAGATTCGTTTTTTACCCATAAGTGTTATCATATTTAGTTCTTCAGTTCCTCATTCGAAATAATTGTTATCACGTTTAGTTCCTCAGTTTTACATTTTAGAAAATAAGTGTTATCATGTTCAGTTGATTAGATTAGTTTAGCAAATTTACGTTTTTCATAAAAAACGTCAGAACAAAAAATGGTAGCAAAGCGTGGTTAGATTTCTTTCAGTTTAGTTTGGTATTTAGTCTGTTGTGTGTTGACGGATTGGTACTCATTGTTTTGATCGGGTTCAACATGTTGTTACTGCAAAGTAAACTGGAAGCAGAAACTTCCATGAATCCTATAGAAAATGAGCTAAAACGTTTGAATTTAAAAAAGCAAAAAGCAGCTGCAAAAAGGTCTCTTACAAAAAGTAAAAACAAATGGTTGAGGCTTATAGAAGAAGATCTGCCCTCTTGACATGCTGTGAGGGACTTGATAGGTCAGGTAAGTGTTCTTCAGAGTGTTTGTAAAGCTATTAATGTCATCTGTGAACTTTCAATAGCTTATAGTGAGTCTGGTGAGGTTGAAGCAAACAAAACAAGAATTGGAAGCAGTTGGATGCAAAACTGCTGGTGCTATTGAGCAGGCTAATTTGTTTTTAAAACATACGCTAGAGACAAGTTCTGTCAGATCTGTCCAGAGTGGCATTTCAAGGTTATTTCGCTCAGAGAGCAATGTGCATTCACAGTCCCTGCATGTTAAACACAATTCCAACAACATGTTGCCAGGACCGTCATATCGTCCATCAACACCTCTCATTAACCTAGCCATAGCTGCTGTGTTCAGAAAACAGTGAACAAGTTCCATTCAAGTCAGCAATTTATGCCTGAATGCATGCATGATGCACTTGCATCTCGATTTCAATGTTGTGTTTGTGCAAACTCTTCCCTTTCCACAAAAAAAGCAAACAAAAAAACTACCCATGAAGGTCCCGGTTAGAATGAACCTTCAGTAACCCATGCTTGTCGTAAGAGGCGACTAATGGGATCGGGTGGTCAGGCTCACTGATTTGGTTGACACATGTCATCGGTTCTCAGTTGCGCAGATAGATGCTCATGCTGTTGATCACTGGATTGTCTGGCCCAGACTCGATTATTTACAGACCGCCGCCATATAGCTGGAATATTGCTGAGTGCAGTGTAAAACTAAACTCACTCACTCACTCACTCTTGTGCATGTGGCAGGTGCATTGAATGGGGTTCGTTGTAGAGACGAGATTTTGCAACGTCACATCGTGCCCTTCATCAACAGTGGATCTTTGATCAATGATCGACCTCACGTTGCACGTGTTTGCCAGGACTTCCTCCAGCAAAACAACATTCAGGTGTTACCATGGCCTTCACGATCAACCGATTTGTCCCCCATTGAACATCTATGGGATACTCTTGATCAATGCTTGAGCCAGCCTAATCCACCACCTCAGACACTACAAGAACTGCAAGCAGCACTTCAGCAAGAATATCACAACATTCCTCAAGAGAGCATTCAGCATCTCTTTTCTTCTATGGGTCACCGCTGCCAAGCTGTTATCGATGCTCATGGTGGTCACACAGGACACTGACATTTGACTCTGACCAAGTAGCTTTAATAGCCCTCTGTGGTTCATCCTCGAAAATATCCAGGGTATATGTTACGATAACTTTCCACTATACCCTGGATGCATCTACGGCTCGACCCGATGATTTTATTACCTCCCTTTGCTGGCTCCGCATTCTCACAGTAGCCAATCAGATAAGCCGCCATTACAACCAAGCTTGCCAGTGCGACTCAAATTTGGGGGAAAACATACAGACAAATTGACAGATCTGAAACCTTAAAAAAATATATGCAAGAACTCCTTCTTTCAGAGTATCTGCAACAATATATTATTGTGTTGACAAGTTTAATTGGTTAGATAATTTAAAAAGCGAAAGTGAGTTGTGATTGGTATGCTCAACTTCCCATCGTAGACACCTGATTGGATAAAAAGCCAACCAAGGGAGGTAATAAAATCACCTATGGAGCCGTAGATGCATCCAGGGTATAGTGGAGAGTTATCGTAGCGTACACCCTGGAGATTATCACTTTCTGGATAGTCATGTTTTGGAAATTTGTAAAGTTAAGATTTTACTGTAATTGAGCAGTGATGTCATGTTAAATCAGTTGAAGGCACTCAGTAAATAAATTCCAAAACAGCATGTCAAGTTTCTTTCTTTGAAGAGTATATAACAGATATATAGGCACACCAATGAAGAACAAACAATAGACTGCCCAGGATCTAAGAATGTTCCTATGAAGGCGAGATCAAGTCTGTCAACACTTGAAGATGATTTTGAGATTTTACATGCGCTTTCTGACATAATTTGTATTTCAAATATGGGCCCACCAGGTCATTTAGTGTTTGATTGAAAGAGGGGTGATTTGATATGGCAATCTGAAAGGGGCATTGGGATTGCATAATTAAATTCGAATGAATATGAATTTGGAAATTTGCCAGAAGTGGTATGGGAGCTGAACTACGGGCGGTTTGGTTGGTAGTTGTTTAGTTTGTTTTTATGGGGTTTATTTAGGTTATGTGGTTTGGTGTTTATTCAAAAATATTGTTACTAGGTTAGTTATGTGAGATTATATAGTTTATGATCAGAAATGCACCTAATGCTTTGACGGTTTGTATTTAGTGGACTTAGGAGTGTTTGTAGTGCAAGATGTGTGTTTGTGTCCAGTTGGTAGTGTATGCAGTGTAGTAGGACATGCTTGGGCATTTCTGTTTCATTGTAGTTTGTGCATTTTCTCATTTGGTGTTTCTTATCTTATGTAGGGAAGTTAAATTTTGTGTGACCTGTTTGTAATTTGGTTATAGCTCTGTATATTTCTGTTTTTTAGTAGTTTTAGGATTTCCTTCCAATCTTCCTTAGCAGTTCATTTGGCACATATGATGGAAGGAGAAAAGTGACAAGATCAGATAACATCTCATAAGGACTGACAATAGTACAACACAGGGGCTAAAGGTTTCGTACATGTGACCAAGCGGGAAGGCACATTTCTCCACTCACATTATGTAATAAAAACACAACATTGTATCCGGTTCAATTAAAATTTAGGTACTATCAAAGTGGTGATGCACATGGAGCATTCTCCAAATACAGTCATCTCTCGCAATAACGTTCTTCGTGATACCACAAATTCGGTTAAACCTTAGGGTAATCCGTGACTCCCATAAAAAAAGTCGCCCGGCGATCACACATCTTCATGTCATTGAAAATAGCATGTCAACAAATCCGCTGTTGAGCTCAGGTTAATCACATTGTAAACTACAGTCCGTTTGAGTCAGAAACGGACCGATGAATTGCAAATTTGATCATTGTACAAAATTGCCACATAAATATAAATAGTACACATGTTTATCATTTACTAATACCCAACAGCTTTCTTATATTTGAAAATTTTCCAGACTCCACCAAAAAAGTTGTTTAAGAAACTATCATCATTGAAAACGCAAAAGTTGTTATCTGTCACGGCAGGGTGAAACCGCAGAAATGGAACAGCCAGCCATGGTGGGGGACATCTCAAAATCTATTCCGGGAGACCTGTCGGTTCCTCGTCCGTCATAGTGTCATAGACACGACTTAAAGAGATGACAAGTAGTGCCACAGTTGCCTGTTGTCAGCCATCCCGAGACCAGTAACCTTGTTCAATGACGTTAGCTAAGGGGTTAAGGTCACAGTGATAGGGTGGAAGTCGCAGAATATCGTGACCCTTACTTTTTATGTAACTGTCAACTTTGTAGAAAGGTTCACCTTTGTGGGGTTTTATGATCTCATATAGCTGAGGCTTCGTTGCCTTTGAAGGCCGTGCGATCTGAAATTTGTCGAGCCATGATATCATATCACCTTTGTCCATTACGATAAAAGACTTCTCTGGTAGAGCTGGTACCAACTTGTTTTTAACCCAATTGAGGAAAACCGCACCATTCATCTCGGAATGGTAGTCTCTGTTATCTGTGGACTTGCCCTGAATACCAAGTCGCAGCCTGGGAGAAAGCCTTTGCTGGAGCAACCAGCATGGAGA